CAGATCCAACTACTGGAGAGTTATTAAGGTCACGATAATAGCTTACTGACCAACCAGAAAATATACTCTGGATCTGGATATAACCCAGAGCCAAAGTATGCTCTGTGTATATACATCGAGTATACTTTGTACTCGGTGTATATTAAGTACAGTCTGTATACTTTGTACTTTGTACCCGATAAGTATACATCCATGTGAACATGTATTTTTAGCACTCCAACTAATTCAGAAAATATTTTTCTAGCACAACTATACTTCAGTTTTTATACAATTATATTAACAAATAATATATAAATGAACTAGTCGTTGAAATTGAAATTGAGAAACTACTCATTAACGTTTATACGATATAGTATTAAAATGACATTTTAAATAGATTTCTTGAAAACAAAGTTATTAACTGTGTAACTGTTAACTTTAATGATTTAACATTGCATCGAAAATGTCTGAAAAAACCATGCATCACATTATTCAGAAATGAGAAAAAGCTCAATTTAAGCATATCTGTGATAGATAATAACGTCCATTGTTAAGTTCTTAGTGGTACATAGTTTTCTTTGAAACTAAGTAACATTCTTAAGTTCTTAAGTTCATAGTTTCATTTTAGGTAATAAATTTGCCAAAATGATAGAACTTCGCTCTTACTAGAAACACGTACATTGTCTTAGGTAAAATCATCCAAAATTGCAAAACAGTGGAAGTTCACCTTAACTCGCAACACAGTGCATTATTGTTCGAGAGAAGCAGCGATATGCACGTGATACCAATGCACAAAGGCTTTCAAATTAGTGCCCAAATAACAACGTCTCGCTTATATCTTTGAGAGTTCAGTTCCTCTTGCTTTTGTTTCACGTTGCTTCCACTATTTGGTCATTTCGCAGTCGACGATACAGTAGAGACAGGTGTTTGATCTGTAGGTAACAGTCAGGTGTGTAGTGCCCATATGTTTTAGTTCTTGTATGAAGGTAGTAATATAGCTTGATATATCTAAAGTTATATAGCCGATGCTGGACATATTTTTGAAGTGTTTTTGTCATTATGAGAATAATTGTCATGAATATAATTAAATGAGTTATGAAATTTTTCTTAAAGTGTCATGAATATAATTAAATGAGTTATGAAATTTTTCTTCAAGTGTCATTAATATAATTCAAAACTTTGCTGGTTTTTGTTGCAAGCAACTTTTTTGTAAAATGCAACGTACGGTTAGTTAATTCGTTTATTCTTCCTGCAAGGTTGGATGAGGATAGCTCCAAATGTCTGGCCTCAAATCTTGGGTAAAGAAACAAACAGACATTGTCTGTTATATATCTAAAGTTACAACTTCTTAACTAATATATACTTAATTTTTGCATTCTCCACACACACACACACACACACACACACACACACACACACACACACACACACACACACACACACACACACACACACACACACATACTTTTAAAACTAGGTATGATAGGGAAATGGGACAGGAGTCATTGCTGTAAACAACCGATAGCTAGAAAGGCGGGAACCAAGAGTCAATGCTCGATCCTGCAAGCACAAATAGGTGAGTACAAATAGGTGAGTACACACACACACACACACACACACACACACACACATACACACACACACACACACACACACACACACACACACACACACACACACACACACACATACACCAGTTGATTGACGGTTGAGAGGCGGGACCAAAGAGCCAGAGCTCAACCCCCGCAAGCACAATTAGGTGAGTACACACACATACAAAGACTTAGTCTCTTAAATGAAGACTAAGTCTCTTAAATGTCTGTACATAAATGTCATATACGTAGTAAAATGTCTCTAGTCTAGAACATTGACGGTTGAGAGGCTTGACCAAAGAGCCAGAGCTCAACCCCCCCGCAAGCACAATTAGGTGAGTACACACACACACACAAACATACACAAACGCACAAACATTCCTCATCTTCGTGTTGCCATGGCAACGCCATTTGTAAATCCTACAGCTTCAAACAAATTAAATTAAGAGATTCAATTACCTTTCCCCACTGTACCTTCCTGTTTTTTATTAATTTTCCTGATTGTTCTTAATTGTCGGCCTGAGGCCTTATGTGTTGTCTTAATGCGTGTGGTCGAGCGTTCCTGCATGTAAACCTCCTGGTCTGTTTTGACGAATTTCAGGATTTCCGTGCGTGTGTGCGTGCGTATGTGTGTATGTGTGTGTGTTTACTAGTTGTGTTTCGCGGGGGTTGAGCTTTGCTCTTTCGGCCCGCCTCTCAACTGTCAATCAACTGTTTACTAACTACTATTTTTTTTTTCTCCACACCACACACACACACCCCAGGATGCAGCCCGTGACAGCTGACTAGCTCCCAGGTACCTATTTACTGCTAGGTAACAGGGGCACTTAGGGTGAAAGAAACTTTGCCCATTTGTTTCTGCCTCGTGCGGGAATCGAACCCGCGCCACAGAATTACGAGTCCTGCGCGCTATCCACCAGGCTACGAGGCCCCACACACACACACATGTGTGTGTGTGTGTGTGTGTGTGTGTGTGTGTGTGTGTGTGTGTGTGTGCGTGTGTGTGTGTGTGTGTGCGTGTGTGTGTGTGTGTGTGTGTGTGCGTGTGTGCGTGCATATGTGTGTGTGTGTGTGTGTGTGTGTGTGTGTGTGTGTGTGTGTGTGTGTGTGTGTGTGTGTGTGTGTGTGTGCGTGCGTGTGTGTGTTTGCGCGGGTTTTCGTAATGTTTTAATGATTGAGAGTGTAATTAACTATCAATTAAAAATTGGATAACAATTCTACAAACCATTTCTAATATTTATGGCGTATAGTTTTGTAATTTGTATTAAAACAGATTCAGAAATGTTTCTAATAAACATGTTTTTACAATTTGTTATTTAAGATCTCTCCCAATCAACTTCGTGAGAATTTGTAACAAATGGACAAATAACATGCTAGATAATTGACCACTTCTTACAGAACATTTCTGTGGCACAATTTGAAATTATCAATTTTTAGGTGCTTGACCTATATACAATGTATTACAATCGTCCCGGGACATTTTGTTAAATGACCCAGTTATCACTACAAAGGCTGTTTCTAACTAATAATTTTCCAGTAGTATTTTCCTAATTAAATACCACATATACTTAAAAACGTTTCAAGGTCTTGACAATAATATCTTCAAACCCAGAACGAAATGGCGAAAATAACACAATTTTTGGGATGATTTCTTAGAACTGAGGTATTTAGAGAGGTGCCAATTTAATGACATCAGTAGCTAATTTAATAACTTTCTAGTAACCTTCATCTTATCTTTATTCACCTAAATGTTATATGAAATACTCTTCATAGACTCAGGACATATGCAAATTAAGCCCCAAAGTAAATAAACCCCAACTAACACGGAACTATTTGGGAAATACGAGTCCACGACACAGTCACTAGATAAATAGTGGTCACAGTCCGATTAAACCTTGCATACAAAATTGAAATTAAGTCCCGGAGTCGCGTGTTAATACTGTAGGAAGGAGAGTTTTGAACTGTGTGTTAATATTTGGATGGCAGCCTCGGCCCTCACTACACACGCTCACTGGTCTTAGAAGGCAGCCTCGGCCCTCACTACACACGCTCACTGGTCTTAGAAGGCAGCCTCGGCCCTCACTACACACGCTCACTGGACTTAGAAGGCAGCCTCGGCCCTCACTACACACGCTCACTGGTCTTAGAAGGCAGCCTCGGCCCTCACTACACACGCTCACTGGTCTTAGAAGGCAGCCTCGGCCCTCACAACTCACAGATTCCGCTTCAACTCACAAACTCACGCTTACTGATTACGCTTAAGCTAGGAGAGATGGAGGAAGTTGCTCCCGGAAACTAACCTTTGCATTTTAGATGGCACTAACTTCCGTCAGAGTCTGACATACAAGGGACGAAATTGCAGCCTCCTGCTAATTCCGAGTTTTGGTGCCCGTGGCAGTTTTTTGCACGCTGAAAAGAATTGCCGGCAAGAGGCAACACGCTGTGAGCTTCTGTATCTCTTGCTTTCTGTTTCTTAATATGTTACAACAGATATACAAGAAGATGAAGTTTATATATATATATATATATATATATATATATATATATATATATATATATATATATATATATATATATATATATATATATATATACACACAAATTTAAACCTTCTTTACATAAATACCAAAGAAATTCAGTTTTTGCTTTGAAAAATAAACATTTTCACTTAGCAACATTTTTCATTCGTTGCATTCAGATCATTAATGTTGTTTTACCTACAATAGTAATAATATAATAACATTATTAACATAAATTCCTTTATATTTCATGTTTGAGCACTTTGCCTTACTGATTCAAGTGTCAATAACAACTTGTTGCAAATCTTCACGCTGAAAACCAATGAGTCAATAACTAATAAATATCACAACACTCCCCAAACGACTTGTGTACCATACTACTTGTGTAAAGGAGGAAATGTATATGTTTATCTCTCAGAATATTCGGTAATACGTTTATTGCTTGTGATGTGTGTCTATGTATGTATTAACACGATGTACTGAACGGGGTGAGAATAGCTTGAACTACCTCATCCCTTTGTGTGTATTTTACCTCAATAAACTTATTTCAATTTCACTTGTCTGCAATCCGGGACATCCTGAACGCATCACCTAAGAACTGGACCATTTTCTCAGACCCGCAATATATCCTGTAATCTTCTCATTACTCCAGACTGTTACTTAACGCATTCTCTGAGACTATCAAAAACCCATATCAACCTCTTGGCAGTTCAATAGATTGGCATTGACTTCCATTTGTTCGATCTCTGGAATCCAACTAGTAAGGCTTCCAGCTTCCCCACTGACATAGCTGGATCCGTAAATCTCTGACTGGAACCATCAATTCTGACTTCTACCTCCGCCAACAGTCTGCACCTTGCCATCTATCATTCAGAAAATTCGTCAATAACCAAACAGCTGCTTGTGAATACTAGTATATTAAGATGGGCGTCGCATTCTTAACAGTAGAGCATAGCTTGGCCATCACATTCTTAACAGTAGAGCATAGCTTGGGCATCACATTCTTAACAGTAGAGCATAGCTTGGGCATCACATTCTTAACAGTAGAGCATAGCTTGGGCATCACATTCTTAACAGTAGAGCATAGCTTGGCCATCACATTCTTAACAGTAGAGCATAGCTTGGCCATCACATTCTTAACAGTAGAGCATAGCTTGGGCATCACATTCTTAACAGTAGAGCATAGCTTGGGCGTCACATTCTTAACAGTAGAGCATAGCTTGGGCATCGCATTCTTAACAGTAGAGCATAGCTTGGGCGTCACATTCTTAACAGTAGAGCATAGCTTGGGCATCACATTCTTAACAGTAGAGCATAGCTTGGGCATCGCATTCTTAACAGTAGAGCATAGCTTGGGCATCGCATTCTTAACAGTAGAGCATAGCTTGGCCATCACATTCTTAACAGTAGAGCATAGCTTGGGCATCGCATTCTTAACAGTAGAGCATAGCTTGGGCATCGCATTCTTAACAGTTGAGCATAGCTTGGGCATCACATTCTTAACAGTAGAGCATAGCTTGGCCATCACATTCTTAACAGTAGAGCATAGCTTGGGCATCACATTCTTAACAGTAGAGCATAGCTTGGGCATCACATTCTTAACAGTAGAGTATAGCTTGGCCATCACATTCTTAACAGTAGAGCATAGCTTGGCCATCACATTCTTAACAGTAGAGCATAGCTTGGGCATCACATTCTTAACAGTAGAGCATAGCTTGAGCGTCACATTCTTAACAGTAGAGCATAGCTTGGGCATCACACTCTTAACAGTAGAGCATAGCTTGGGCGTCACATTCTTAACAGTAGAGCATAGCTTGGGCATCGCATTCTTAACAGTAGAGCATAGCTTGGGCGTCACATTCTTAACAGTAGAGCATAGCTTGGGCATCACATTCTTAACAGTAGAGCATAGCTTGGGCATCGCATTCTTAACAGTAGAGCATAGCTTGGGCATCGCATTCTTAACAGTAGAGCATAGCTTGGCCATCACATTCTTAACAGTAGAGCATAGCTTGGGCATCGCATTCTTAACAGTAGAGCATAGCTTGGGCATCGCATTCTTAACAGTAGAGCATAGCTTGGGCATCACTTTCTTAACAGTAGAGCATAGCTTGGGCATCACATTCTTAACAGTAGAGCATAGCTTGGCCATCACATTCTTAACAGTAGAGCATAGCTTGGGCATCACATTCTTAACAGTAGAGCATAGCTTGGGCATCACATTCTTAACAGTAGAGCATAGCTTGGGCATCACATTCTTAACAGTAGAGCATAGCTTGGGCATCGCATTCTTAACAGTAGAGCATAGCTTGGGCATCGCATTCTTAACAGTAGAGCATAGCTTGGCCATCACATTCTTAACAGTAGAGCATAGCTTGTGCATCGCATTCTTAACAGTTGAGCATAGCTTGGGCATCGCATTCTTAACAGTAGAGCATAGCTTGGGCATCACATTCTTAACAGTAGAGTATAGCTTGGGCATCACATTCTTAATAGTAGAGCATAGCTTGGGCATCACATTCTTAACAGTAGAGCATAGCTTGGGCATCGCATTCTTAACAGTAGAGCATAGCTTGGCCATCACATTCTTAACAGTAGAGCATAGCTTGGGCATCGCATTCTTAACAGTAGAGCATAGCTTGGGAATCGCATTCTTAACAGTAGAGCATAGCTTGGCCATCACATTCTTAACAGTAGAGCATAGCTTGGGCATCACATTCTTAACAGTAGAGCATAGCTTGGGCATCACATTCTTAACAGTAGAGTATAGCTTGGGCGTCACATTCGTAACATTAAACGAGTATGCATTCGTAACCCTAGAATTATAACCGTCACGCCAATATTCGTAACACTGGAGGCGTAACCTGAATGTCAACAGTTCGTAACACCGGCAGAATAACCTAGTCATCGACAACACAAAGAAATCACATTAACGTGATGTATCGGTGAAAAAATTAGTAAAAGCCATAGGATTCGAACCTGTGTTCTGGGCAATCCCAAGCATATGCCTTAGACCACTGCACCACGACATGGTCAAAAGCTTTGCAACCTGGGATTCAGTTGAATGCTCTAGGGGTTCTAGTGGTTCAATGGAAGACTTAGAAACCCTAGAGAATTCAGTTGGATTCCAGGTTGTTATGCTATTGACCTTGCCGTGGCGTAGTGGTCTAAGGGGATGCTTGGGAGCATAGGTTCGAATCCTCCTCATGGCTCCTACTGATTTTCATAGTCATTGACATTCCTATTCTCAGCAGATTCGTACCCAAAGCGGCCGCAATGTATTTCAATGCATTAAAACAGAATATATCAACACAGTTTAATTTCAGCAAATATTAAAAGCCTCAGCCATCACAATTTAAATTAAAACTTTTCCAATTTCCCAATACGCTCTGGCTTTACTACCGAGACTATGTTACTTTAAGAGGAGTTGTAGTCGTGGCTCGTGGCAGCGTTTATGCTGTTGCTGTGGTATTCGTGCGGCTGTATTAACATCTGAACGGCCATGGCGGTAGACTTGTAGCTGATTTCATGCTCCCACTGTATTAGTGAAGCAGTTCTAGTGGCATTGGTGCACTGGGGTTAGTCATGCGGATCTCACGAGAGGCAAACCAACATTCTGAGCTGTTTTAACACCTTCGCTCAGCGTATAACATTCTATTGAGATATTTGGTGAAGGTGGAAAGAGGTAATAGACAGTGTTGCTTCAACTAACAGCACTATTGAGTAGTTGTAAGGATAGTCGGGGGCCGGCAGTGCTGCCTGAGACGCAACATTGACCAAGAAGAATAAGACTGGCCAGACGCTGCCTCAGCAACAGCAACAGTAGGTGTAGTGGTTTTCAGGAAATAGATTAGGAAGGTTACTGGAGTCATACAGAGTGATCAGCCTCACTATCATTGCATCAACTCATAAATTTATTGGAATTTATTAAAATTCCGACAATATTATATATATATATATATATATATATATATATATATATATATATATATATATATATATATATATGTCGTACCTAATAGCCAGAACGCACTTCTCAGCCTACTATTCAAGGCCCGATTTGCCTAATAAGCCAAGTTTTCATGAATTAATGTTTTTTCGTCTACCTAACCTACCTAACCTAACCTAACCTAGCTTTTTTTGGCTACCTAACCTAACCTTACCTATAAATATAGGTTAGGTTAGGTTAGGTAGGGTTGGTTAGGTTCGGTCATATATCTACGTTAATTTTAACTCCAATAAAAAAAATTGACCTCATACATAGAGAAAAGGGTTGCTTTATCATTTCATAAGAAAAAAATTATAGTAAATACATTAATTCAAGAAAACTTGGCTTATTAGGCAAATCGGGCCTTGAATAGTAGGCTGAGAAGTGAGTTCTGGCTACTAGGTACGACATATATATATATATATATATATATATATATATATATATATATATATATATATAATATATATATATATAATATATATGTATATATATATATATATATATATATATATATATATATATATATATATATATATATATATATATATATATATATATATATGTATATATATACATACATATATATATATATATATATATATATATATATATATATATATATATATATATATATATATATATATATATGTCGTACCTAATAGCCAGAACTCACTTCTTGGCCTACTATGCAAGGCCCAATTTGCCTAATAAGCCAAGTTTTCATGAATTAATGTTTTTTCGACTACCTAACCTACCTAACCTAACCTAACCTAACTTTTTCGGCTACCTAACCTAACCTAACCTATAAAGATAGGTTAGGTTAGGTTAGGTAGGGTTGGTTAGGTTCGGTCATATATCTACGTTAATTTTAACTCTAATAAAAAAAATTGACCTCATACATAATGAAATGGGTAGCTTTATCATTTCATAAGAAAAAAATTAGAGAAAATATATTAATTCAGGAAAACTTGGCTTATTTGGCAAATCGGGCCTTGCATAGTAGGCTGAGAATTGCGTTCTGGCTACTAGGTACGACATATATATATATATATATATATATATATATATATATATATATATATATATATATATATATATATATATATATATATATATATATATATATATATATATAATATAACCGGAGTGTCAGACCACTCCGTGGTCTGATACTGTCATATATAATATAAAAAAATTATAAGACAACATTTTCCTTTTGACCAATTCGAAGATAGGGCAAGCAGCTGTGGTGCATTAATTATTTAACGAGTACAAGAATTAAAAGACCCCCTTCCAATCAAACCTTTGCAAGAGCAAAATCTCAGAGATTCTCTATATATAAATTAGATGTTTTCAATTAAGAAGCAACTTCTGAGTTGCAAGCACGATCTATTTGGTAGAATTGCCCAATGACTCTATCCATATTAGCCATATTCTCCCTTATCAGAATAAGCCATATTCTGCCTTATCAACAACCTTCAAAGGTCGCCTTTGAATTCCAGAAATTGAAGTAGGTTTATGGACGGCCCATTGACCCTCCATTTGTTGGTATCTGGAGGACTTGGTGTCCATTAGCGCACAGAAGCGAACAAATTGAGTCGCTATGAAGTCCAGTGATGTCTTTCATTTTATGCTGTGGTGTCCAGAGCGTCCATAACGTGGAGAATTTTGATGACTGGTAGTTACGGGGATCAATAACTTCGTGAACTGTTATATGGCTGGTGATCTGGTCAACCTAACTGTTAGTCGCCGCTGCTCGCATTCAGGTAAGCAGAATCTGCCTGACATCAGCTGCACTACTCTAGTCCACAGTTAACAATAAACACTCTCTCAAGATTTATTTTGAAATACGTTGCAGTTTCAGTATTAAATATTAATAAAAATTAAAATTAAAATTAAATCCACAGTTAACAATTAACACTCTCTCAAGATTTATTTTGAAATACGTTGCAGTTTCAGTATTAAATATTAATAAAAATTAAAATTAAAATTAAATCCACAGTTAACAATAAACACTCTCTCAAAATTTATTTTGAAATACGTTGCAGTTTCAGTATTAAATATTAATAAAAATTAAAATTAAAATTAAATCCACAGTTAACAATTAACACTCTCTCAAGATTTATTTTGAAATGCGTTGCAGTTTCATTATTAAATATTAATAAAAATTAAAATTAAAATTCAGAGAAACACTGTAGTCAATTACAACAAATATTTTACAAACCATTCAGCCAATGATGTCAGCAGACGACAAATATAAGCTAACGAAGAATAGCAAGTTCCAAAGAATATGAACTGGCTTAGGATAGTATCTGAGGTAGAATATCAACTAATAAAGAATACTTTCATATAACAGGCCAAGTCATCTAATTCTTTTTCGTTTAATTTTCTGAACAAATGGATTCCTATTTATATATTTCAGAAGTGTTGATATAAATGTTACACACCCATATATCTCCACTTCATCAGTTTATCGTAATTAATTACCATTATTTAATCGCTTTATATCCACATTTCTGTCATTAAATTTATCAGGGATGTCTAAATTAATTGCTGGCATTAAATAGAGTCACTAATCTAATGGTAATAAATAGACGCTTCAATAACACTCTGACAACAGAACCGCTCGAAGCCTGTGATAAATCTCTCTACACGAGTACTGTTGTTTAAAGTTTGTGTTAGTTATCTTTATCTGTGTTTATTAACTGTACAGTCGAGGAGAATCACATTCTCTGCTGCCTAGTCCGAGTACAGTCCTCGGACTAGGTACAGCCCGAGTTACGGGAGTGATTGGCACATTTTCGGTATAAAAAGTAGTAATTTCAGACTCCCATGCTTTTACACAATTCCCCCCTGCACCCGAGTGTGTAATGAAGGAAGGGCGAGGTAGAATAACTTATTGATAGAGCTCGGGTGCATGGGGGAATTGGGTACAAACCTGGTTTGTGTCTCGGAGAGGCTGCAGGATCCAAGTAAGGGCAGTAGAACTTCCGGTTGCAATTCTTTTTAACCATGTCGTAACTCAGTCGATTAAGGTAGCGTCTGGGATCTTCCAGGACGTAGGTTCAAACCCTCGTCACGGCCCTTGTGGATTTGTGCGTAATTTGATTCTCGAAACATGTACAGTGAGGTAGATATCGGCTCCAAAACAACGCTCATGAGTTCGATTCCGCTATTATGAAAACTGCAGGGGGGTATGGGCAAAATATGACCCATCGCCGTTTTCAGTAATTGGCATATTTTCGGTATAAAAAATCATAATTTGAAAATGAAAATAGGTGCAGAGTTAGAATTCGACTCACAAAACACGCTCAGGAGTCAAGTTTCCAACATTTCAGATATTTTGTAAATTACAGGGAGTTTGGACAAAATATGGGAGTCAGTAATTTCTTTCCTATCAGACCTGAATGTTTGGACCAATACAGTTTTGACAGCAGAGATGGGGATACCTAGATCTAATTCAACTTCATCTTTGTTGCACGTTAATTTAACTGCAATGTCTGTCTCATTATGATGGGTTGTATTTATGTGTGATGGTATCCATACAAAGGAGATTGCTCTGTCTTTGCTCATACCCTTTGCTCTGTCCAGCGGGGAAGATTATGAACTCTATGGGACTCCCTACCCATGTTTCAGTTACTATTAGACTACCAGCTACCATAAGAGTTAAGACAATTTCAATGAGGATCAATTACTGTGATGGACAGATACTATGAGGTACAGCTACTGTGATGGACAGATACTATGAGGTTCAGCTACTGTGATGGATAGATACAACGAATGTCCGCTACAGTGTTCGAAAAATACTATGAGGGTTAGCTACTGTGATGGACAGCTGCTATGACGGTGAGGTGCGGTGATGGTCGGATACTATGAGGGGTCAGCTACTGTGATGGACCAATGGCATCTATTTATCAAGGCCTTAAAATAACTTATATGGCTTTCTATATCATTTTGATTGATCTGTATCACTTGCATATCCATTTATAATACTTACATAGCTGTCTATATCACTTCCATAGCTGTTTATAATGCTTTCGAAGCGACATGAACTGCTGCCCAAATCATCTGTATTGATATGTCTGTTAATGTCTTTCATGTCTCTATGTCTATCCTAAAATATTTGTCAACTTTCTTTAACTATCTGCATCGTTTTGTGAGCCATCTGTCTTGTTTATAGTACTATATGTATAACATTACCGGTTATTCATTTGGTGTCTATAATCATCATACTCACAACTATACTCATCTATGTCGCAGCCAGGAAAACCCCGTATAGATGCCATGTCCATCTTTGCCATGCCATCTTTGATGGCAAAGATGCCATCTTTGATGGCAAAGATGCCATCTTTGATGGCAAAGATGCCATCTTTGCTCTCTTTACCTGAATATTTTGAACACCTCTTGCTCTACTTGACAAATATATCACTGGTAAACCATCTTTATCGTTGTTCTAATCATCTGTATCGCAGATCTAGCAATCTATATCACAATTCTAACCATCTTTATCGCAACTCTAACCATCTAAATTGGATATTTAACCACCGGTATAGCTCTAATCTTTTCTATAGCCTCTGAAACCATTTAAATCCCTAATCTATTAATTTGTGTAAACATCTCATGCACTGCCCTAATTATTTGTATATTTGTCGTAGCTCTACAGAAGGTAGATTGGGTTCTTTATCCTGAGATTTAACTTTCAGCTTTGTTGTTCATTATATCTGTACTTAGTTATCTCTACCTTTGCCACGAATATGATTACCGTTGTACTGGTGTACAGTACGGTTACTTCGAGCTTCAGTACTGTTGACTCTGACAACAGTACCGCTGCCTAGAGTACTGTTCCGTTCCTTTGGATATCGTTACTGTTGGTATTAACGTTGGAATTGTTGATATGGTTACTTGTACAACTGCTATGGATATCGTTATTGCTGTCTTGGATATCTGTATAAGTGCCATGGACATTTATACCGTTGCCATGAACATCGGCCAAGAACATTTGCACTGTCAATCACAACATATGTACCGATCCTCTGGGTGATATCTTGAACAATTGCACAGCTGGCCTGGGCCTTTGCACTAGTGTGCTAGATCTATAGCATGACCCTGGAACACGTGAAAACTTGTTTAAACAGGGTTTTAAGATGGTTTGAGACACTACAGTTTTTATATTTGTGAATGAGTGAATGATTACCAATTATGTGTTAATGCCACTGTCTACATGCTCTTATCTGGTTTCTCATTGTTAGTGATTCTGAACACGAAACTTTTTCGATATTTTCTAGGTTCCTTTATCTATCAATTATCAATGCCCCAGGGAATCAAACCCAGGACTTATTATGTAATTATATAATTATAATCTTTGACCCGTAAGTCTCTGTATAACCTGTGATTTACTAAAGATTATCTTCATCATTTAATCCCTTGTTTGAAGACTGTCCAGGCACGTTAACTTGGATTACACCTTTTATAGTGTAAAGTTGACCAGACTACACACTATAAAGTGAAGGGACGACGAGGTTTCCCTCCTACCTTTATAGTGTAATCACTAGTACCGTTTGTATATGGTGGTAATTCAGTCTGTCAATCTTGTTTATCTTAAATATCTGCAAATTGCGATTGCATATTTCAGAAAAAGATGCTGAAGAATCTGAAAAAAAAACTTTAACTCATATATTGATGTAGAATTAGCAGAGACTAAATCACATCAATAATAGTCGGTTAAATCAATCAATGATGCTTCTGTCCTTTCCCTTCACTATTCATTTCCATTGCATCCCCTCAAGTTTAATCAGGCAAATTAAAGTCTGAGTAGTGGCGGGCCTGGGATTAGCGGCACAAGATCCCAGGAGGCCCCCTTCCCTCCCCGTGTTCCTCTCCCAATCTGCCTTGATTCTCACCAATACCTGCTGATTGGAGACAAGTCCAGCCTCTAGGTCTCATCAGAACAGGATGGTCAGTCATTCTTGCTACGGTTGCGTAAATAAACCCAGTTGATATGAAAAAATTGTGTAGAAAAGTCAGTTATGATATAACTTGATTTTTGTTCTCACGAAGCACGTATCTAAACTTAAAAATCTGTTATATTAATAATAACGCTGTTAATCTACTTCAGTCTTTTGGCATATTCTTGTAAAATAGCGACCACAACCCCCCAGTGAAAGCTGGCTACACGATAAGAGGGACCTCGACACGATCATTCGAGTGACCATATGTTTCGAGGGGAATAGAAAATAGAATAGAATAGAATAGAATAGAATAGACCCACCCAACAATACAAGGGGTCCCTATCCATCTCCAAAGGATTCATAACTAGCACTACGAAGACGTGACTAGACGAGTCCCTTCGAAGAAAAACTTCGAAGGGACTCGTCTATCCACTACAACGGCCTCCACCCACTCGCAATATAAGAAACGACTTTCCTCAAACAGACCAAAGAATCTCGCAACCATGTCGCGAAAGATAGCAACGATAGCAACTCCTCACTAGATGTTGCAGCACCCTCTTGCAACTACGATAAGAGCATCTAACTTAAGACGATAGCACACTAGGATGACCGAGGCCTCAGGTATACACCAAAAGGCTAAAATTTGCAAGAAAATATTTCGATAACAGGCTATATTTTGCAATCAATAACAATTTTACTACATGTTATCTTTCATTTCCAATAATTTCTTTATTTTCCTCATGTAATGTAAGGATTACAGATTACCCAGATACTACTGGGGGATGAAGTTGTTTATGTTTATACTGCAGTATTATGAGTCATATATATATATATATATATATATATATATATATATATATATATATATATATATATATATATATATATATATATATATATATATATATATATATGTCGTACCTAATAGCCAGAACGCACTTCTCAGCCTACTATTCAAGGCCCGATTTGCCTAATAAGCCAAGTTTTCATGAATTAATATATTTACTATAATTTTTTTCTTATGAAATGATAAAGCAACCCTTTTCTCTATGTATGAGGTCAATTTTTTTTTATTGGAGTTAAAATTAACGTAGATATATGACCGAACCTAACCAACCCTACCTAACCTAACCTAACATATATATATAGGTAAGGTTAGGTTAGGTAGCCAAAAAAGCTAGGTTAGGTTAGGTTAGGTAGGTTAGGTAGACGAAAAAACATTAATTCATGAAAACTTGGCTTATTAGGCAAATCGGGCCTTGAATAGTAGGCTGAGAAGTGCGTTCTGGCTATTAGGTACGACATATATATATATATATATATATATATATATATATATATATATATATATATATATATATTAGTATATTTTGGTAGCAGTCTTTCCTGTAGACATATTTTATTAAATATGACCGAAAAAGTAAGATTAATAATTCTAACACGAATTTTCTCAATCTTTCGTACATTATGCTTCACTGTTGGAGGTAAATCAAAAATCACTTCTCCAAAATTCATTTTTATTTCTAGTCTGACGCGACACGGGCGCGTTTCGTAAAACTTATTACATTTTCAAAGACTTCACAAATACACAACTGATTAGAACTTGCGTTTCCCTGATTTTATATCTACATTTGAGTGAGGTGGGAAGGGTGATGTGGCATTACATTTGAGTGAGGTGGGAAGGATGATGTGGCATTAGAGAATATTAATAGGGTATTAAAAGTATCAACACAAGACAGAACACGAAACAATGGATATTGAATAGAAGTGTTTGTAGAAAGCCTATTGGTCCATATTTCTTGATGCTTCTATATTGGAGCGGAGTCTTGAGGTGGGTAGAATATAGTTGTGCAATAATTGGCTGTTGATTGCTGGTGTTGACTTCTTGATGTGTAGTGCCTCGCAAACGTCAAGCCGCCTGCTATCGCTGTATCTATCGATGATTTCTGTGTTGTTTACTAGGATTTCTCTGGCGATGGTTTGGTTATGGGAAGAGATTATATGTTCCTTAATGGAGCCCTGTTGTTTATGCATCGTTAAACGCCTAGAAAGAGATGTTGTTGTCTTGCCTATATACTGGGTTTTTTGGAGCTTACAGTCCCCAAGTGGGCATTTGAAGGCATAGACGACGTTAGTCTCTTTTAAAGCGTTCTGTTTCGTGTCTGGAGAGTTTCTCATGAGTAGGCTGGCCGTTTTTCTGGTTTTATAGTAAATCGTCAGTTGTATCCTCTGATTTTTGTCTGTAGGGATAACGTTTCTATTAACAATATCTTTCAGGACCCTTTCCTCTGTTTTATGAGCTGTGGAAAAGAAGTTCCTGTAAAATAGTCTGATAGGGGGTATAGGTGTTGTGTTAGTTGTCTCTTCGGAGGTTGCATGGCTTTTCACTTTCCTTCTTATGATGTCATCATAAGAAGGAAAGTGAAAAGCCATGCAACCTCCGAAGAGACAACTAACACAACACCTATACCCCCTATCAGACTATTTTACAGGAACTTCTTTTCCACAGCTCATAAAACAGAGGAAAGGGTCCTGAAAGATATTGTTAATAGAAACGTTATCCCTACAGACAAAAATCAGAGGATACAACTGACGATTTACTATAAAACCAGAAAAACGGCCAGCCTACTCATGAGAAACTCTCCAGACACGAAACAGAACGCTTTAAAAGAGACTAACGTCGTCTATGCCTTCAAATGCCCACTTGGGGACTGTAAGCTCCAAAAAACCCAGTATATAGGCAAGACAACAACATCTCTTTCTAGGCGTTTAACGATGCATAAACAACAGGGCTCCATTAAGGAACATATAATCTCTTCCCATAACCAAACCATCGCCAGAGAAATCCTAGTAAACAACACAGAAATCATCGATAGATACAGCGATAGCAGGCGGCTTGACGTTTGCGAGGCACTACACATCAAGAAGTCAACACCAGCAATCAACAGCCAATTATTGCACAACTATATTCTACCCACCTCAAGACTCCGCTCCAATATAGAAGCATCAAGAAATATGGACCAATAGGCTTTCTACAAACACTTCTATTCAATATCCATTGTTTCGTGTTCTGTCTTGTGTTGATACTTTTAATACCCTATTAATATTCTCTAATGCCACATCATCCTTCCCACCTCACTCAAATGTAATGCCACATCACCCTTCCCACCTCACTCAAATGTAGATATAAAATCAGGGAAACGCAAGTTCTAATCAGTTGTGTATTTGTGAAGTCTTTGAAAATGTAATAAGTTTTACGAAACGCGCCCGTGTCGCGTCAGACTAGAAATAAAAATGAATTTTGGAGAAGTGATTTTTGATTTACCTCCAACAGTGAAGCATAATGTACGAAAGATTGAGAAAATTCGTGTTAGAATTATTAATCTTACTTTTTCGGTCATATTTAATAAAATATATATATATATATATATATATA